TACACTCGCAAGATGGGTGCAAGTGTTCTCGTGATAATCGCTGTTTTAGCTTGTAACTTTTCGTAACTTAATTCATTTTAATGCTTATATCTTGCATTGGTGATACTGATTCGATTCTATCATCTACGACGCTTAGTTAGACGCTCATTTCCGCCGCCGGGCATGGCTGGAAATTGCCGAAATTTAATTTTATCGGTTTTCCTGAATCGCGATTTCCTGCGCGATACCAGAGAGCCGTGAACTTACGTTGACTGTCACAAGGGGACTGGGTTCTACTCATTTTGCAAATTAGCACATAACGTAGCTGGAAAGAAAACTTCAAGTTTGTATTGCTGAAACATGCTCATGCATCGATGTTGAATCGTTGATCGATTCACTCCGGCAATTGGCCCCTCTCGACTTTACTGTTTTCAGTTCTAGACAAAGGACACACTCGTCTATAAGGAATCCTCAATTAAACATTTTATAAACATCTGCAAGTCGGAGCAGTTCCCTTCGATCTTTCCCTACAATGATATCATCTCGCGCATCCTTGTTCACATTGTATCTCATTGTTGCCGACGACGCGAAACGCCAAAAATCTTATCGGTGTAGTGCATTTTAAAGAACAAAAAAACCTGAAGGGTAAATCAATCGCTGCAAACGGATAGAGTATTTTGAGTCCTGCACCTCCGATTCCTATCGGTGGCGCTTTCAGTGCAGCTTTTATCGGCGTCGCCACAATGGCGGATGCCATAATGCGGGGCAAGAAACTTTCCCAATAAGATTAAAAAAAGTGAAAGCCGTTTACAACTCCCTGTAACGTCAAATTAGAGCGCAGCTCTTGAGGAGGAGCAGTAAAGGGTACTGAGGGGGGGGGGGGGGGGGTCACGTGACCTCGGGGAGGGAGGGTCACGTGACCTCAGAGAGGGGGTAGTCACGTGACCTCAGGAAGGGGGTGGTCACGTGACCTTCGGGGGGGGGGGGTCCCGTGACCCCCTTCCCCGAGGTCCTTTCGAAGGAACCCGAGGTTCTCCCGAGGTCCTTGGGGGGGCTCGCGGTTACGCCGACGCCGACGCCGCTCAAGCCGGAAACGGGCGCCTAAGAGCTGCGCTCTAAAACCATCATCCGCGGCACACAAGAACACGAGACGCGCCCTCAGTCGGATTCCCCGCACTCAAAAGTGCCCAACCAGCAGACCCAAAGCGGGAGCGGCGCCCCGAAGAGCACTTTCACCAACGTTTCTAACCACTCAGCATCTATGGCCGTGGAACCTGACGCTCGCTAGATGGCGCTCCGGTATTCAAAATTGCGCTACTTACGATAAAACGGTCAATCGCGACGAAATGGTGCTGATGGTTCTTCCAGCACCCAGTGAGAACTTTCTAACGGTTGTTTAGAAACGCTGCCGAACAACAGAGTAGCTATGTTTTGTTTTTGTTTTTTTCATATAGAATGCGATGATCCCTGAGTAGCAGGAATCGCATGTGTGCTTGGGTATCAAACTTTATAAGGCAAATAGATGTAGTGACCGACAGCAGTGCTGGCACAGCGTGACGCGGGCGAAATCACGCGGTGAACGTGTAACGTGCACAGGGAACTTGCCAGAACATCGGTGCCCTGAGCGTTGCCAGTTTCTCGGACACACGGATCGGTGTCGCCATCTAGGGGTCAAATTTTAATCTTCTTCAAGATGGCCGCCGTGCGGCCCTAACCTTAAAGGGATGCTGAACCGAAAATCGAATTTCAGAAAAGAACGCTGAATCGATAGGCAGGACGCTACAAATCCCAAGACGTCACTCATAAAGCGGTATCTCCAACGGATCGTCGTATTTTTTTAGAAGAACAGCGCGCTCGCACAAGGCCGAAAAGACGCATGACCTCGCGAGTCTCATTTCCTCCTCTTTTCGCTTTGACTGCGTGAGGGCGCGGAGGGGAAAGGGGAACCGACACCATTTCTCCTCCTTCTCAACTCTTGTGCGATAAGATGACGTCAACATTCCTTCTCATTCGCTTCTTTATTTTCCAGAAATACGGCCATCCGCTGGAGATACGGTTATATGAGTAATGTTTCGTGGTTTATGGTGCCCTGCTGAACATTTCTGCAAGCTTATTTTGGGAAATCCGAATTTCGGTTCAGCATCCCTTTAAAGCCTCTAAGCAATTCTTTTTTTTTAAATTGACTTTAATTTTAGGTGGAGAATATTTACCGCATATTTACCTCTACTTGACAAGATTGTATTTTTCACCTTTCTTTTTCTTTCTACAACATAACAATAAAGATGTGACTCGATTCATTTAAATACGGGGTCTCAAACACGCGGCCCGCAAGCATTCCGCGGCTGGGAGTCCCCGTTCCCATGCCTCGAGCGCCACAGGCGCCGTATAGTTTTATATCGTCAATTATTTCCGCTCAAACGGGAACTCTGCTCATATAACGTGTTCACGCATTTTGCACTATTCCGCTTATCGCTTGGACGAAGAATTGCTTTGTCTAAATATTGCCTTCTCATAATCTTCCCATGTAAATCAACCGGAATGGCAGTACCACTACTACTAGGCTACAAGCGCGAGTTCTTTGCCCAAACAGACACCTCGGCTGCACACTCTAGCCCTGCAGGAGCAACTACCAAAAATAAAGCTATGAGCTCGGGCTTCTAGCTGTCAACAATACCTTTAAAATGAAAAAAAAGTTCTTATAACGCTACTATAAAAAGCGCCAGGAAAGAAGGAACTGCCGTTTAAAGAGAAAGTTTTATATATGCCTGGTTGAGCCTAGGGAATTGTGTGACGGGGGAAGGATGGTTTGCTTGCTCTTGTTCTGTTCTAAACTGCCAGTACTGTGGTGTGTAGATGTTTTTAATTTTTCTGTAACAGCAGTTGTGGGCCCAAAGTAGTTATATATGCAAATTAAAGCTTAAGATGGCAAACTTGGAGCTTGCAAAAAGCAGACAGCAGAATAATCCATGCCTAGAAAATCTCTGGGGTGTCGCTGGGACAGTGGGCTCCTTTGCAACGTGAAACACCACTGCCGTGTATGTTTTGTATTTTTTGCTTCAAAATCGCAACATATTGTCCCACCGCCCTCCCTCCGTTGGCCCTCGTCCATTCGCCCCCCCCCCCCCCCCCCCCCTCGAGTGGTTTTGAGACCCCTGATTTAAATGCTTTAATCATTGGCCGATCAAACGCATATGTGTAAACCAGCCTCCAAAAAAAAAAAAAAAAAAAAGACACGGAGTTGGCCTTGAAATGGTGGGACCCTCACGCTTCACGGTTTGGTAGAAAGGCTTTCTTTATTTCCACAAGCAAATGTTGTGTCGACTGTAGAAGCTTGTGCAGATCCTGTGCCTCTAGGTTACGTAGCCCCTTGTAGAGGACTCTGCCCGGTCCCTGTTGGCAGAGAAAGCTTCCTCATCGCCAAGTGGTCGTCATATGCCGAGACGTGGTGCCCGGAGACAGACTTCGGCGAAGACACCCTTTCACTATTTGCCTGGCCTCACCGATGCTGTGCTTTGCAGAAGGCGGTGTGATCCGCAATTCCCTTATAGAAGTCTAGAGCGCGGAAAGGGAGCTTTAGCGTACGGTGATTATTCCAGCCCTACGATCTCATTCCAGAGTCTTGTCAACGGCTTATGGGGTTACAAAGGTTATCACAACCGCCCGAATCCTTGGAGCTCCCGCCCAGCCCTTACGTTCTCCGCTATGTTGATTGTCGTCTCGCTTGGCGCAGAACTGCTGGCAGCTTTTCGTATTAAAGCCCCTCCCCCCCTCGTTTCACAGTTCTTGCGATTCAAACGCGTTCGAACGCTGAACGCCGGCGTTCGCTTTCAAACACTGAGTAGAGACAAAGGCTGCTAGCTTTACGTCTGCTCACTTCCAACCAGGGCTCGGTGTTCTGACGCCCCCGCGCGCTCTCGGTGCCTCCTCTCTCTCCATTCCTACCCGTATAGCCTCCGGACACGAGTCGTTGTGCCTGAACAAATTCCACGAGTCTATGGGCGAAGGTCATTGCGCAAACACTGGAACGCTTCAGTAAATGTGCGGAACAAGTAATCGTTAAACGCGCTTGACGTGCAAAGTTGGTTAACCACGCAATACTCAGCAACGAAACGAAAAATAAATACACCTCTGTTTGTGCATGAGAACGAAACTGGGGGCCATAGACTGCTTTAGGACGCGGAAGTACACAAACTATTACCAGGTGCGTTTGAATGGATCCAACCGCATCTTTTATTAATTTCAGCTCTAGTATTTGCAACTGCAAGATAATAACTTTCGAAAAGTAACGTTTGCAGCGTATATAGCAAATGTTCAGATCTGAGGGGAGGATCGGTGGCCGAGTGGGCTAAAGCGCACACCCAGCTCGACGCACGTGGGGCGAAAGCTCGCGATGCAGAACCCAGGGATCCTGGGTTCGAGCCCCACCCCTGCCCGTTTCGATCTGGATGAGCATCGTACCGGCGTGCGGTCGTGTATCACTACAGCGTGGTGCACGTTAAAGACCCCAGGCTAGCGGTTGTACTGCACTGGCTAAATTGCTCATCTACAGCGCGTGACTCGTCGCAACTTTAATGGCCGACCAACTACACGCTGTATAAACATCCCCACAACCCAATTATTATTGTTCAGATCTGATGTTTCTGTGCTGCTTTTTGGACTGTTTGTTCCATGCTTCCTACGCCTTCATATTATATTTACAATCGCGTTGTAAGCGCGCAACAATATACACAATTTCGGTTTTGGGTAGGAAAAACTGTGGATTGACGCGTCCAAAAAATAGAACCGACTGGAAGTCGCGTGATAGTCAAAGATATGGCAGATGGTGGCTTGTGGAAATGAAGCGATATATATATACACGTACGGTTCCTGATGCATAATTGATTACGATGCCTGAAACGCGTCTAGAGCTAGTGTGATTATCACTTTTTTTTTTCTTTATAGATCGGTTTTTGTTCGGCGACGTCACAACTGTGAGTTCTTAATCTTCGCGGCTCTGGCAAAGGCATTGTATCGCAAGTGGTTACGACAGATGTCTGATCTTATAAGCCACCCATTGCAAGAGGCCAATCGGCGAAAACTTTCGCATCTACGCGTTGGGCACGCCAACGTCAGCGAAGCCTGCCTTCGCGCATCTTCTTCGGCGGTATACTCCAACAAACAACCACCTGGATAGCGAAAAGAGGCATCGTTGACAGGCCGCTGCTGCGACGTATTTTGTTGCCGTTTCGAAGACACTTCGATGCATGGGCATGACAAGGCGCAGAAGGCGTCAGTTGGACCTACGTTCCGGGCAGCGTAGCAGCCCCAATGACATTTTCTTGCGTGTGTAATTAAGCGATTGTCCGTTCACGCTGAGTTGGACCTCCCAGGGCCTTCTCTGGCAGTCGCATCCGCAGAAAGGGGAATTTCCATCGACTCGTCTTCGTGCTTCAGTTTGGCGTCGCTGCTGATGCGTAACAGCTGGTAGTAGGAAAGCACGCATTTCAGAAAATACACCTGTAAAAAAAAGGTTTCATGGCATTAAACGTTGAAGTTGCACATAACTCGTTCTCAAGTTTCTCAGGCATATTTTTTTTTTTCGCATGTCTTATCTCTAAGCTATGATCATCTGTGTGTTTCCTTTTTTTTTTTTATTTCGCGTCGTGTTTCAGCATATTTAATGTTAACGAAATGCTTTTTTATACATATATATGAATTGCGTTTTTGAACTCTAGCGAAACACTCGGCGATCCCAAAGCCTCTGCTGAGCCCTTAAAAACCCTCCAACTCTGACGCCCGAAGTTAGAAAAGAATACTAGGTTCCACAGAATGGATGAGCTGAGAACAAGCGGTGAACTTCGCATAGCGGTGTTTCCTTTCCGCGTGGCGTTCTTAGAATAGCGGCTGTTGTTGCCGTGCGCGCGAACGATCATGCCGCAGAAAAAAGTGTGTCCCTTGCTGCCCAGACACCTTTCGCTTCATGGAGAGTAGCGCTGAGTTCAAGATGAAAGACGACCCGAGAAAGTCTTGTTGGCTCATAATCACAAGATTACTTGTTAGCGTTATTCGAGCAAATATAGCCGAATCTATTATTCAAAATATACCTTATTCATTATTAGCGCCATTTCTCGGCGGCCACGGGTACTATCAGAGGCTCGGCGCCATCTTTGAGGCTTCTCCACCGTTCCGCCGCCCGCGGTAGTACAGCAGTATACGAACCCCTCTCCCCGCGTAGCGTTCGTGCATTTTTTGTTTTGTTTGTATATCGGTGGTGTTAGCCCATCGAGAATAAGTTACGAATATTAAGCGCAAGTCTGTTTTCAGTGGTTTCACTAAGAATTTTTTTATTTTTTTTATATGATATAGCTACTAATATCAGAATAAACATAGAATTGTATGCTGATGATTGCATCCTATATCATGAAATCAAAAGTCCCGATGATCATCTCATCCTAAATAATAGCCTTCAGGAAATATCAAAATGGTGCAAAGATTGGCAAATGGTACTAAACAAAAAGAAAACTGTATTTATGTCTATCACCCATAAAAAGCACCCCTCTCTTTTTTCATACCACATAGATAACCAAGTACTGATCCGGGTTAATGAATATACTTACTTAGGACTACATATAACACACAATTTAAAATGGGATAAACATATCAGCGCGGTTATAGATAAAGCATCTAGAAAACTACGGGTTATGAGACGCAAATTACGGCAGGCAGCTCCGGATACAAAACTATTGGCGTACAAAACTTTTGTTCTTCCTATCTTGGAATACGCGAGTGTAATATGGGACCCTTACACAAAAAAAGACATCAATAGGCTGGAAATGGTACAAAGAAAAGCGGTTCGATTCATCTACGGGGTATATAACAGGCATGCTTCAGTTAGTGAGTTACTTAATAAAGCACAATTATCAACACTTAGCACGAGAAATACTATTAACAGATTGAAACTGCTCTTCCAGATAATTCATGGCATGATCAACATCAATCGGGACAAGTATATATCATTTTCTGCACGCTCCAATACACGTAGCCAGCATCCGTATTATATCACTGAGCCGTTACCGCGAAATAATGTTTTCCAATACTCCTTTTTTCCTCGCACTTGCAAAGATTGGAATAACTTACCCGCTGAAATAACGAGCTCTAGTTCCCTAATTTCATTTCTTGATTCTGTTAGAAAACATTTCAATGTTGAGTGAAGATTTTGTTTCTATTTGTATTTGCTTGCATGTTTTTCCTTTCGTGACATATTAGCGTCATATGGTTCTTGTGTTTGTTTGTTTGTTTGTTTGATGGCGATTTTGTAACCTCATGAATGTAACCATTCCTACAATGGTCCTGAACAAGGACCAGTAGTATAAATAAATAAATAAATAAAAAAAAAATATATATATATAAGAAAGAGGTTCATTCCAGCACAGGAGCAGGCCGACTCACGCACTTGTTTTAAAATCGTGCGTTAAATTGCCTGACCATCTGATTATGCCTGTTCGCACAAGGACGATTTGTATGATATATTTAGCAGGAGCGTCAGCCCCTGTGTGACACTTGGTTTTTATATGGCATTCGAGGCTGCGAATCTAAAGAATAGGAGCGGTTCTCCACCCAGTGCGCCTTGACCCAGCGTGTGCAGACCCGAATCGCAGAGTTCTACGATGGGTTGCTGAACGTTTACTCTTGGTTCCCCGTTGTCTTAACATAAGGAATATTGCAAATATGCTTTCACACACACAAAACAAAGAAAAAGAAACCCGGAAATTATATTTATTATTCACATTTGTATTCAGTTCCTTGGGGAGATCACCCATTTGTAGCTAAAAATATCATTATAAGGAGTGCGTGTGATACAGCACGAATTTACGATAGTAGTATTTTTTTATTGCAGGTAAAAAATTAAAACTATGGTGTAGATATAAATAGCATACTCACACAAGTGTATGCGAGGCACACAAGCGTAAAAGGAAATGGCCGGCGTGTTGCCGCGGCGCAAGTACGCGCAATATAACGTATTAAAAAAAAACATCACTATACTACGGAAAGGTGAAACATTTTCCTTTTATAATCATAATAATAACATTAACAAATAAATTAAGTACTCGCTCATATATACTCTTCGGCCCCTTTAGAAAAAATGCGTGAATAAATGTCAGTGACATTTTAATGTGCTCCTCCTTGTAGCACGGTCATATAGCTCAGCGCGCTTATAAATTTCATGCTTACTCGCCGTGGAATACGACCAATGCTCATTAAAGAGGTTGCTTGCAGTATTGCCTACAAGTAAAAGAGCTCACGCGGCGCGAACCTGATCTGTTGAGAAGCGTGCAAAGGATATACTGTTAAACTCGCCAACAGGTCCAGGTTAGCAGGCAAGAGCCCGCATTTATGCTCTCGACTACATCTCGAAAATGTTTCACCAAATGTGAGAGTCGCGTGATAATAATGATGCAGCGTAAAGTAAGCCGGCGTTCACCTTTGCTTTTTAACACCCGTTGCCTTTATCATTCATCTGCGAAACCAAGTTGTTACGTCGCCTAGTACTTCTGCAATTTGCATCAGCCTTCAATCGGGTGTAAAAAAAACAACAAAAAACTACTTGATCGAGAAAAAAAAGCGCAAAACAGTGTATTTTAGTGATATTGACTGGGCCTCGCCGTTGCTCATGCGCGAGCGAAGCTACGATGCTAGCCAGCATCAAGCACCCAGAAAATAAAAAAAAAAAAATAAAAAATAGATGCTCGTTGACGTTACATACAACTATCATGAGCCCTTCATGCCATTGTGGAAAGTTTCATATATTAAGCAAACGTTTAGGAGCCCTGTAAAAGCACACAACACCACACCACACTAAGACGCGGGTACTCTTTTTAGGAGCATGAAATGTACATGAAGGCGCTACGGCTATTCAAACGTTGACTATAATACCTTTAACTTGAAAAGAAAAACAATAGGATCCCAATCTTTACATCGTTTTTTTTTAATTTTATTTTTTCGTTGAATATGTAGCAAAGAGAGCAGTCGTGCGGTCGCTGCACGCCGCTTCCACACGCCGGAAACGACCACAGCGCCTTGCCAGCCGCCTCAAAGATGGCGTCGAAAGGAAGGTTGGCGCCACGTCTGACAGATGGCAGGCGAATCTGAATAAGGTCTATTGTTCAGTCGCAATATCATAGCCATGAAGCATTTATAAAGCAGCAAATTATTTACTGGATATAAAATAACTAGCACGACCGAAATTGCCTGTTTGTATTTGAATTACTTGAATACATCAACACATAAGGTACAGTTAATTACGCTCTTAGAAACCGCGAGAACGCATTGCGATCTTGACGGACGACATACCTTCGCAATTAAAAACAACTTCGTTTAAAAATATATATATCAAAAAATACATTTAAGAGTAGGAGAGAAAAAAAAAAAGAGATTAAAAACCGGGAAATAGAACGAATGATAAACATATATCACGGCTTCTTGCGGCAGTAAACCATCCAGAATGGATATGTATTAGCCGAAGTTTTAAGCAATAAGAGTATTATATTTGTTACTCTGAGCGTATTAAAACATTTTAAAATGAAGCTTCTCTACACATGGACAGTAGTATACACAGTTTATAAATAAAATATTGTCAAATAGTTGAGCGAACGCCCTGTGTCTCAACTAAGCGGATATTCGCCTGTCTTAGGCCGGAGACGTCCAGGTATTGTTAGCGTTGAATAAAATAAATGTAAGAGGAAAAACAACATTCCGACAACTCCTACAGATAGACACCTGCTAGTTCCTGCAGCGATGTCTTTATTCACTCAACTTTATGCTGCGTGTGTTTTGTTTTATACGTGGAAGAATACCGAAGTTTCTCGGCAACACATAAAATAACATGGTGGCAGATGGACGTTAAAGTTACAGCACTTGTAAATGTCATGCACGCTGATTCTGGCACCTGCACTTTCCTACAACTCACCGAGACAAAGAATCCAATCCAGGATCCCATCGCGCTTCCCAGTGCATGAGTGGACTGGAAAAAGGGAATGAGATAAATGATCATAAAAAAAAAAACAAAAAAAAAAAAACATTAACGATTTTTATTACTCAATAATGATCCGCAGTCCTGACAAACATTGTCCCTACACCATTACGACTGCATAAACAGGAAAGCATTACGAAGTATCAATATAGTGGTGATATTCCAAGTCGCACGAATTATGAATACCAAAACATATGAATTCAGAAAGGTGAGATTTTATTTTGTTTCAATGAACCCAGATGCAAATATTTAAATACTTCTACCTTAAATAAAAACAAGGAAGAATCGATTTAAAACAAGATCGAAGAAACTGGGTCGACTTTACATAACAAGATAAACAATTTAATCAAACGTTTCGTTTCCCATGCGGGAAACCACATTCCTGCCTCAAGGTTTCACTGATGATGTTTCCCGCATGGGAAACGAAACGTTTGATTAAATTGTTTATCGTGTTATGTAAAGTTGACGCAGTTTCTTTGATCATCATGATTTCCGGTTTTTAGAATATTTTTGCATTAAAACAAGAGTACAAACAGAACTACAAAACAGCTGGGAAAACAAAACACGTACCTTCAGAACCTTAAAAAAGAAACAGAAATACACTTTGTAAGCATCCTTATTACTGAAGATCACAGTAAAATACAGTGATTCGAAACAAGTTGTTAAAAATGCAGCTGTCCCGAAAATATCAATGCAATTCTAGAACGAAAACATGCTACATTTACTTGAGTATTTAAAGGTTTGCTTTGAATGACGAAACGTTAATCATTAAAGGCGATGCACCCCAGCAACTGTCTTCTCTCTTATATAGCGTGATCCTGCGCGTCGTGCATCGTAGAATCGTACCGACGCAAACACTGCAGCCAGGACCTGCATCACGGCGATGACAAAGAGATACAGGATGTTGAAGAGGCACCAAATCATCCACGGTAGAAGCAGCCGGTGCTCGGCCTGCAAAGTGCGGAGAGGCGACATTTCTTTCCGTGGAGCTAAGGCGGTGGCCGAAACGGGTCCCCGACTGGTTCGTTTATTGCGTAAAAAAAAGTGTTTATCTGATTTCCTTCGGATAATGTCACAGAAGTGTCACGTTGTCGCCGGTAGCGATCCTGGCGGTGCCACAGCATCGGTGGTGTAAATGGCAGACACCTTGCGCTGCAGGTCGCCCTCCGGCTTGACAGTCCACCAAAGTTTCTGCAGCCAGGTGTTGGGACGCCGCGACGACAGCGACACTCGGGTTCGCTCGTACCAACGCTACTAAAACACTCAGTTGGGAAGCCCACCCTTGAAACCCGAATTGCTCGTGTCCTCCGAGACCAAACTAGATTAAAGCCTCAAACTCGATATGATACCTTTAGCGACGAGTCAAAACGTAAAAATTGATTTAGATAGCTCCTGCGAGATGGCGCCACTGGCCCTTGCGCTACTTGACCTGAACCCGTATGTGTAGCCGTGCTGTTTCCGGAGTGGCCGCTGCGGGAGAAATGGCGGCTTTGCGATCGTCTTTAGTTCGGTTCTCGAGTAGGGATCGAAGTTTCTTTTTAAAAGCAGCCTGTATGGCAGTGTCCCAACTGAGTTGCTCTAGTAACGTTGGCTCGTACTTTTTGCTGTGACTTGTAGCACAACCGCCAGGATCACAACATCCGACAGCATGACATACCGGCTTCTGTGGCGTCATTTGTTCCAACTTCGAAAGCATTCTTTTTTCTTTTTTTTTTGGGGGGGGGGGGGGGGGGGGTGTTTATGGGCAGTATAGAACGCTAAACACACCAGTCGAAAATGCGTTCATGGCATTGTAGCAAGGGTAAACATAGCTGGTGTTAGCGGCTATTTCAAAGATGCATACAGTATCCAGACTGATAGCCGAGAAACAAGATCCGCTTAAGATTTTGTTCAGTTACGTTTTTTCTAAAGGCTCCAAAGAGTAATATACGAGGTGAGGTCATAAAAATAAACATGTTTGGCACGTTTTGCAAGGTACAAATTCCAAACGTATATGCCGTAAATTGGTCACGCGAACTTCGTTTTACAAAAACGTTTATACCTGTTCACCCCTTAATTCGACCCTTAAGAATATAGTTAAAAATCTTGACGCGAAACGACGTTCCCATGCCTAATTCTGTGCTGGTACCTCTAAAATGTGTTTTTGTGCCAGGGGTGCCAAATACACTGGCTTTTACTGCCGCACACCTTGCATGTAAATGGAGCTTAAAGCCACAGTCACGCTCCTCGTATATTATACGTGGGGTGAACCTGGTCATTTACAGGACTTTGCATATGTCTACATTCTCGACAGACTCCCCTTGTAGCCGAATTATTTCGCATCACTTGTGCGACAGCCTCTAGGTGCCCTGCTAGAACCGCTTTTTTGGAAGTACCCCCCCCCCCCCCCCCCTTCCCCCCCACGGCTGGACAGCTGCTGTCAGCTTAATAGTGATCTCGAAATGGCGTCCTCCCAGGAGCTTTTTCATTGCATACAACAGGTGATAACCACTGACTGACTGGCCTTAGCAAGTGCCGAAAAGACGGCCTGAACCTGATCAGACGCTGGTCAAACCCTGTCACACGTGAGTGCACACGACGCGGTGATTGACCGGCGGCTGATCGGGTTCGGCGGCGTCTTTGCAACACGTGGTATGACCAGTCAAACGTTTGGTCACGTATGGTACGACCTGACCGGGCTCCCAGCGATTATCCCCTGTTACGTGGCATAAAACAAAAACAAAACAAAAAAAAAACAAAAAAAAAAACGCGGGGACGTTCATTGGTGGTCGCTAATAAGCTGGAAGCTGTCCAGGCGTGGGGGTGAGGCATTCCCAAAAAGTGGTTCTAGCAGGCCATGGAGAAGCTGCCACAGAAGTGGTGCATGGGCGTCCGGCTACAGGTGGTGGCTGTAAAAATGGTGGACATAAGTACAAACCTCTAAGTGACCGGTACTGCAGCAACAGAAACCAAAGAAGAAATGTAAATCATGATGGAACTTCCCTCGTACAAAATACATGGTGTTTGCTGCAGACATGATGACAAACTTGTCTGCGGACCCGTCTCGTGCCAGTTGGAAACATGTTTGCTTCATACGTGCTTAGAACATGTCTGCAGGCCGTACGACCAACAGGAGAAGACCATCATACTGCCGCCCTCTGATGAGTCATGCACGCCTCACGAAGTGTCGGCAAACTCTGTTTTGTGTGACGTATCAGCAGTCTGACGGAGTGTTTAAGTATGGTGCCTGGGTCGCGTCTCCGACTGGTGTGTTTAGCGTCCTATCCCGCCCATAGATCAAAAGTAGTCCCGAAGTGGCAACAAATGACGTCACAGAAGCCGGAGTATCATGCTGTTGCCTGTCGCGATCCTGGCGGTTGGCCGCAGAAATGCTGGCAAAAAGCACGAGCGAACAGGAGTGTCGCTGTGGTCATGGCGTCCCAGGCGTCCCAACTTCCAGCTGTTGAAGCTTCCGTGGGCTGCCACATTGGAGAACGACCTGCAGCAGAACAGGCGTCTGCCACGTACACCACAACTGTTGGGACGCCGCCAGGATCGCGACCGGCGACAGCATGACACTTCTATAACGTCATCAGGCGGAAATCGAGGGACCACTTTTTTTTGGCCGCGGTAAACACACCAGTCGGAGACTTGTTGCACTCACCATAGTTTAAGAAAGGTTTTTCCTGGAATACTGATAGTGATAGGACAACGTTTTGCTGTGACAACGTTCCCTGCCCCCCCCCCCCCCCCCAAAAAAAAAAAAAGCAAAAAAAAAAAGCGATGCTTCTTTGCGGGACATTAGCTACCAAATTAGGAAGATTTGTTTCTTTGTTTGTACGTTTGAAAGTTGAGTGTGCGTGATATGTAACTTAATTGTGGAATACAAAGATTCTGGACGCTTAAAAGTGTTTTCACCCGTTTTGCTGAAAGATCTGAACGTTTCCCGTAAGATTTCTTTTTTTTTTTTTTTTTTAAGTAGCTCGGCGTGCGATTGTTACTTTATCCGCAGAACGGCAGATATCGCAGAGGCGAGGGCAATAATCGCTACATATGAATCAGGAGACTTGACCCAAGTTCGCCTGGCTCAAGGGTCGGGGCACGGCCATGGCCGGGGGAACTTTTGAACCTACAACTTGGGTGGCAACTCTAGACGATCTAAGTTAGGCATTTGCACTTCAGTGGACGTGACATTAGATGAAAGAGAATGTTCGCGCGAATGTATAGGGTGCCAGTGAGAAATCCGAACCTGGCTTTTCGCACCACAAAAATAAAACTAAACGTCACGGAGAACTCAAACTCCGTCAGAACGTATTCCCAAGCCGCTTGAGCAAGATGACAATGTTACAGCACCAACCGTTATCTTATTCAATAGTCATAAGGAATTTTTCGAAGTTTTCAAAGAAAAAATGGGGCCCACTTTTTTTGCCAGTTTTCGGCTTGCGGCGCCATAGAGCTCCATGTATCTGAGAGCTCCGTCGGCTTCCATTTTTCTATTGAAATTTTCAGAAAATCGTTTATAACTTTTGAATAAGATAACGGTTGGTGCTGAAACTTTGCCATCTCGCTCCAACGGTTGGGGCTACACGTTCGGACGGAGTTTGAGCTCTCCGAAATAATACTTAAGAAACAAGCGAGCTGGTGATGATTCATGGTAATAAAACCCGAGACCCAGGAACAAAGAAGGGGACATTTAGTTTATTGTTGCGGTGCAAAAAGCCGGGTTCAGGTTTCTCACAAAAACCCAGAATTTATGCGAAGGAAATCGACAGATTCAGAGCAAATGAAATAATGCATATGAGACATATCTTACCACTCAATATAGATGACGAGTTCCAAAGTTAATAAAAGAACACGCGGCAGCTAGGCAATTGCAACATGTTCACTGTAAAGTGTAGGCTGTTTACACTTGGGAACATGCAGGTGATCTCACCTTTATCACTCCCACGATTAGAACGACCGAAAATAAAATCTCGATGCAACTCTCGACGATTATTGCAACCGCCACGTAATGAGGATCTGTAAGTAGAGCAAAAATATATTTAGGATGACTTAGACAGTCTTTGTTGAATATGCAATGATACTAATAAATCAGAGATACCATCAAACTATAATTTATCGTTTTCCAAGTGTCCAAGTTCGTGTGAAATCGCAATGCATTTGGAGCACCGATCACCATGATCATCCCTCGATCAGTTGAAACCTATAATTGGCGACTGGTCTTGTGCTCCAGTGGTCACGAACTCTCAGACCTCAAAAGGAGTTCACTCTTTTTGCCACTCAAACAGCATGCTCATTAAATCGTGATACCAATTGTTCCTGCTTATTTCCCAAAGTAATTGAAGCAGGGTGAAGACTAAAAATCAAATTAATTTAAATCGTGATTTATATTGTGGATTATTTATATAAAGCTTTTCCGCAAAAATCATCCCTAAATATTTTATGTACCGTTTGTCTATCATTCCAAACTGTGAATTAATCTAAAATGACGCCTATTCCATCGTTCGGAAATATCGCAGCAGGCGTAGAGGAAGTGGAGTTTTGATTTCGATAAAAAAAAAAGTGTTTTCGGGTTGAAAATTTTGATATTATTTCAACGTTTGAAGGCGAGTGGTCCAGAATAGAAACTCCTACCGCTCCTGTTACAATGATTGCTTGTTACAAGCCTCCCGGGCTCCTAGATTTGTCCCTTTTTTCCACAAATGTATAGAACTACTTGTTAGAGCTTACCCTAATGGTATGTTTGTGTTGGCCGGAAACTTTAATTTTCGTGACATAGTTTAGCCGACGTTTCCCTCTTGCATGCCCTTCGAGAGTTGGTTCACGAATTCTAAACAAAGCCGACCTTTTGCGGATGTAACGCGTGCATTCTCACTTGGTCGAATGATTAGTCAGTCACCCAACTCGCAACTCTGCTGTTTTGGACCTGTTTTTTTTTTTTTTTTTTTTTTTTACGTCAAACCCTGGGCACGTAGTGCGTGTCAATTTTATAAAATCATTGCGTGATTATGTTTTTATAAATGTTGAAATGGCTATCCTTACGCCGAAGCAAATTCCTCAGGTTAAAATCATATTGAATTATTCAAAAGCAAATGCTGATGATCTCTGCATGAATTTAACATCATTTTCGGGCCGGTTCTTAGCTGACTTCTGTTGTAGATCGGTTAACAAAAATTGGGACGTACTTAAATATAAATTGCATGACCTAGTTGATTTATACATTACCAAAATAAGCATTCCCTCGCGCGTTCCAAAACCTTGGTTTTCGGCATAACTGAAGAGGCTAAATAATAAAAAAAAAAAACAGCGTCTTTACAGGACTGCCAAGCTTTCTCCATCTGCAGATACATAAGAGAGATACTGCCAATGTGAGAAAACGTCGAAACTTGAAATAGAGAACGCAAAAAAAGAAACTGTTTTGTGAAGATTTTAGCAAACAATTATGAGAATCCAACCCCCGAAATGTTCTCGACTGCTGTTAACCCAAAACAAGGTAAAGAATATTTCCCTTTCACTGATGCGTCGGGAAATGAGATGAGAACTGCTGAGTCATGTGAAGATTTTGGTCGGTATTTCAATGACGTGTTTTACGAGGACCTGTTGCCTCTTCCAGACTTTGACCTAGACCTTCTTTTCGACAAAGAAATGGCCCCATTAACCATCTACGCTTTTGGAAATATGGAACTAATTAACGACTTACCCTCAAACTGGGCACCAGGCCCTGACAAAATAACATCGAAGGCTCTCAAATTTTGTAAAAATCAGTGTTTATCTCTTCTTTCCCTGATTTTCCAACAATCGCATGACTTCGGTGAAATACTCGACGACTGGGAGCATGCTTAAGTAATTCCAATTTTTAAAAGTGGTCCGTAGAATATATATTTTAACTATAGACCAATATCTTTGACAAGTGTACCCAGTAAACTCATGGAACGTATGGTATTTTCACACATAATGAAGCACTCATGCACGTGCAAAAGCTTTTCTGTAAACCGGCACGGTTTCCGAAGGTCCCACTCTTGCTAATCGCAGCTTTATGACTCTTTTATTCCCAGAACTTTCAAAGACTGGAATCGCGTACCTGTATTGCTCACATCAATTAATGACCAAGCACTTTTTTGTAAATCTATTACCAATTTCGTGTTCCCTGTTCTTTAAGTATTGTATATGTTGTTCCAATTGTTTATTATGTTTACTTTTGTTCGCACTCCCCTCTGTAATGCCGTGTGCCCTGAGGGTAAAATAAATAAATACTAATGACATACATCAAAACCTGCAATCCCGCCGCACAGAATCTTTACAGATTTCCAGAAAGCATTCGACAAAGTGCCTCATCGCCACCTCACGTTAAAGATCCGTTCACTAGAAATAGACCATCTAGTAATTGAGTGGATTCCAACTTTTATTTTAACCATACATATATCGTTCATTATATCAATTAAGATTCACTAAACAAAATGTCAGATTGGGTGTGCCTCAGGGAACCGTGCTCGGTTCGTTGTTATTCCTTATCATGTCATGAATGACAATTGATGAGGCGACGAAACTGAGGCAAACTAAGCGTTTAATGGGGCGAACTTTTGCCCAAAAACAAAATAGGAAAAGGCTAGCGTCGCAGGCGTCGAAGGTGGCGAAACAGCAGTATCGAACGCTGGGGCGAAAACTGACTGCCGCTCGCCACGCGGAGTCCCTTATATAGATGCGTTGGCTTCTGGAACAATCGGTGTAGAAGGTTCGGCGACTAGAACATTTGGACCTCGAACAAGCAGCAGGGTTCTCGAATTTACCAGAACATTAAACTGAAAGAATAAATGAAAGACGCGTAACTCCCGGGAATCGAACCTTGGGACCCCGCACGAAAGTCAAGCGCGGTAACTACTCGGCCACGCACGCGCTCGCTCACCGTCGCGCGAGGTAATATATGTGAATGACTTGCCAACTTGGATTCGGTCCACTATTAGGTTATATGCCGACGACTGCGTGATCAATGGGAAAATATAAAGGCTAGATGGCTGTGCGCTTTTGCGGAACGACCTCACATGTCTCGAAACATGGGGTAAACAATGGCAGGTGAGAATTAATGCTTCCAAAACCAAATTTCTCAACTTTAATACCAAACGTACATCAACACTGTTTAACAACACCATTTTCAAAACGTCTATTGAACATTTTCCTACGTACAAATATCTTAGGGACCACTTCACCTCCAACCTTTCATCGGAGCCTCGCATAAATTACAATATTGCGAAGGCTAACGAAACCCTGTTTCCCGATGCGACAACTCTGCTACCTTGCAACACGGGACACAAAAATGATCGCATATTCATATTTCTTTCGACCCAAAGCTTGAATACGCATCTGTCATATGAAATCCACATCAGTCATATCTAATCGATAAGCTAGAAGCCATACAAAACCGAGGTACTTGCTCCATACTTTGCAACTACATACTCCCGCAAGCATTACACCTTTAAAACAGCAACTTAAGCTTCCACTTCTTGCAGACCGTGGGAAGATGTCACGATTGAGTGCCGTGCATCAGTTGTACTGTCAATCGCCATGCGAAAAAGTAAGTATTGCAGAGCCGCGCGCCAGCCACATCTAGTCACGCACAGACAACACACGGATACTTCACGTCGCCGCTCGTAGTTGCAACTCTCTATTACCGACTGAGAGCAACTCACTACCCGATAACGTCGTAACAATAGAAGAGCCAAGCTCGCTCCGTGCCGCTTGCCGCACTTCACAGCACGCAATCTAACTTAATCCTTGTTTCATTTGTTTTCTTTGTGAGTCTTGATATATATAGATATTAGCCCCTCCCCCCCCCCCCCCCCCCCTAACGTAAAGCCCCCTGAGAGCAACATAAGGGTACAATAAATTAAATAAAATGAAATTTGATGTTTAAACGTGCATTGGATTTGCTTTTAAATAATAATAAAAAATCACAAGGAAGCAAGAAAGATATATATATATATATAAGGCTGAACTTGATAAAAAATAAGTACTCTTGTAAGCAAATCGGAACGTTGAGCTTGATTTCTACCTTTCACTTCGTTCATCAGTTATATACATATATAGAAACCACAACCTTTAGTGGGGCGAACTCGTGCCCAAAATAAACGGGAAAAAGAAGATAACAATAGAGCGTCATGGGCGTCGAGGTCGGCGTGACAGCAGGGTACAACGCTGGGGCGAAACTGACTGCGGCTTGCCACGCGGAGCACCTTTTGTAGCCGCGTGGGTTTTCTGGACCATTTGGCCTAGAACGTTCGGCGCGTAGAACATTCGTAACTCGATCAGACAAGAAAGCTCTCGAATGTGCGAGAACACCAAGTAAAAAGAATAAATAAAAGAACATTCCGCTCGCTGGAATAGAACCCAGATCCTCCGCACGACAGCCAAGCACGGTAACGATTAGGCTTTTTTTTTTTTTTTTTTTTTGGCCATCTTGGCTTACGCGGTAATCATTAGGCCACGTACGCGCTCACTCAGCCACGCCCGTGGCAATATATGTATATATAGATGTCACGTCCTATCTTAACAAGATCAAAACGTAAAAAAAAACGAAAACTAGAAAAGTAATGTCCTATTGCAAACAAATCAAAACTCCAATAAAAAATCAAATAAAGGTTTTTTGTTGTTGATCTTGTATGGTGGAAATAATAGGACTAAAAAAGCTGTTAATTAGACTGCACTTTACATTTACAGTATATTTTTCAGCATAATGCTTTGAACATGGCAGATTCATCAATCTATTTGCAATGTTTAAAAAAACATCTAGTCGTAGAAAATCATTCTTAGATTACGGTGATATAAATCAAATCAACCTCATTTAAATCAAATAGATCTGACTTAAATCAAATAAATTTGATTTATTTGATTTGTTTCCAAAAACATTTCTATTTTCATTGTGAAGAGAAGGCAGGCTAAATATTAGTGCTGCAAGTTGATCGTGGTGATGCATACCTCTCGCAGCTTATGAAGGCGTATAAAATTTATTAAAATTTAGCAAATTG